TCATGCAAAAGATTTTTTTTAAATGCATGCATTTAATTATCAAAAACTACATTTGTGTTGTTTCATGTTTGGACTGATTCCATATTCACGATTTTCAAAAATGGCGCGATATGTCACGGTGGCCGACCAGTGTACTGGGGACGAAGCACTAAAACGAGGTCTGAAAGGCCAGCCTCCGTATAGTAAACTTCCATGGTGTCTTGTAAGACTGTTTTGTCATAAAACATACCAATACATCTTTCAAACTTTTGGACACTGCCATACATGCGATCTTTGTAGTGATTTTAAGATGGAAGGCCTTTGAGGTCTCGTTTCCATGATTCGTCACTAGTCCTCCGAAATTGGCGCCATTTTTGACAAATTATGTCAACAGAAAGGGAACTGGAATCGACTTGTGAAATCAGTCCAGTTCCTAAGTTTTGTGAGCTTTTTCTTTATATTATACTAATGTTATTTTGATTTTTTCACTGCTCTTTTTGGGTAATCTTATGCCTTAAGTATTTCAGTTTAATTTCAAACAACTTATAAAAGACTTGAATATAAATTCTGTACAAAATACGGTATTGAAAGCGATGCCATAGAAAGCCGGAAATTCCATCATGTGTTCACTCAAAATTTAACATTAAAATATTTCCACTATGATCCTTGAATTGTTTTTTGTTTAAATGCACCCATGAACCTTTGCGCGATATTCACACATACCAAAAATCGCCATCTTTGTTTTAGACCAATCGGAAAGCAGCTTTAGACACAAATCTCGTTTTAAAGCAAAGTAAAGGACCGCAAAGGTTCCTGGATACGAGTGGTCCTTCAAGCTCATATAACACACGATCCAGTTTTGCCTCCTTTTACTTGGGATTCCTTTGTCGACCATACGAACGCAGAATTTTAGCCACACGCGGTTAAAGGGACACTGTCAATGGCACGCATGCGTGAGTAAACTTGAAAACATTAGGCTAATGTTTTCAAGTTTAAGACTCCAAGTTGGCGCGACATAAATCAGCTCGTAAACGTAAACAGATCTAGAATATTCCAATGTGTGTCAAAAGCACCACAAAATGATTTACATTGAAGAAAATACTTTCAAAGTCCGTTAGAGGCGAAACTTACTGCGCATGTCATCCATTGACAGGGTCCCTTTAAAACAAAGCGGGCAACATGTTTGCTGCAGCCCTCAATACAACTAGAATACCAAATCATGCCAAAAGTATGACTTTTTTCAACGATAAACATTATTTTCCTGATAAACAAAGCTCAAAAAGGAAAATTTTTGTGTTGCGCGATTTTTCCTCACTTTAGTGCAAAACTATAGGCCCCTTGCGCAAATTGTTTTCTTACCCCGAAAAGGACTATCGAGAGAGGCAGCCATATATAACACAATGCAATGGGAACACATCGTTAATGTAGGCTTAGTCAAGCACAAGAGAAAATGAGGTAAGAGAAGGAATCCCTGTTACCCATCATATCAGCCCTTCGTTCTATTTTTAGAAAAAGAGCTATTTTTAGTTTGTTACCAAGCCCGCGCGACCACTACTCGTTTATCGGAATTTGATATCGGCTATTTTTCATCGCCAAAAACTGAATGTCAAATACTGTTCGAGAAAAGCTACGAAATTCGCTTTTAAAAAGGNGACTAAAACCCATTCGCTCCTCAAACATCAATTTTAATCACTTTGTAAATCTAGTACTGTTAGAGTAACCACATGCGCTCTTYGAGCGCCTTTAATTTCTTTATATTATACTAATGCTATTTTGATTTTTTCACTGCTCTTTTTGGGTAATCTTATGCCTTATGTATTTCAGTTTAATTTCAAACAACTTATAAAAGACTTGAATAAAAATTCTGTACAAAATAMGGTATTGAAAGCGATGCCATAGAAAGCTGGAAAATTCCATCATGTGYTCACYCAAAATTTAACATTAAAATATTTTCACTATGATCCTTGAATTGTTTTTTGTTTCAATGAATCAAAGAAGCTTTGCGCGATATTCACACATACCAAAAATCGCCATCTTTTAGACCAATCGGAAGGCAGCTTTAGACACAGATCTCRTTTTAAAACAAAGCAAAGGACCGCAAAGGTTCCTGGGTGCGAGTGGTCCTTCAAGCTCATATAACGCACGGTCTTTTGCCTCCTTTTACTTGGGATTCCTTTGTCGACCATACGAAAGCAGCATTTGGGCCACATGACAAATAAAAAAACAAAGCGGGCAACATGTTTGCTGCATAATGAAAAAACTCTATGTATCTCCAACAATACTTTATTATGAAAAAAAAAACTAAATGTCCCAAGCTTTCGGACGATCGTCCATCATCAGGGTGATCAGAATAGCATAAAATTACTTATAAAACTTATTAATAATGCATAAGCTATTGCTCCAATAAGGGCTGACCATTTAATCAGGTGATTGACCTTGTAAATCTGATACAACCACTAGTGGTTGTATCGGATTTACAACACGGTCGTCACCATTGAGACAACCCAACACTAGCAAAGGTCTCAGTTTTAGTGTCGCATCATAGACCTTCACTAGGTTTTGAAGCAATCAAAGACGGATAACAGAACTCGGTTATGCAGCAGATGGCTTGCTTTCCATGTGGGATGGATAATTATTCAAAATGTTCTGTGTTGCAGTAAATTGCGCATGCTTAATAGGGACTAAACTCAGCAGTTACCTTATTTGTCATTTTTCGTCATTTATCTCACTGTAATTCATGTTAATTTGTGTTGGAGTTTTATAAGTCGTTTACAACATTCGCGTCCGTGTTGTATGGGAATTACAATCTCTCGCCTGCGGCTCGAGATTGTAATTCCCATACAACACGGCCGCTCATGTTGTAAACTATACAATATATATACAAGAAGATTAATTTACATGAGAAAAGATTAAAAAAACACTCAGAATCTATGAATAGAAATAATAACAATAACCATAAAAAATAAAGATGAGCAAATAATGACGATAGAATAACATACATACAATATTGTAAAAAAGTAAAAACATATATATCTAAAAATTATAATAAAATCGTAAACATAAGAATATATAATACTAATTAAATTAATGTTTTGTAAATCGGTGGCAATGTACGGCCGTTATCTCTATTTGCGCTGGTGCTATTTTTGTCTTTCTCAATATACCATGCCTCCTTCCATCTACGAATCTATCTTAAATGTTTGCTGCAGTCCTCAAAACAACTAGTGCCAAATCATGTCAAAAGTATGACTTTTCAACGATAAAAATTATTTTCCGTGAAAAGGACTATCGCAAGAAGCAACCATAACACAATGCAATAGGAACACATCGTTAATGTAGGCTTAGTCAAGCACTAGAAACGCGGTTACAAATTTTGTCACGCTCGCGCTAGAAGATGGCGTGCGGCAACTTAGCGCTCCACGTGTATCTAAGTTTAGTTTTATCTGAGTAGTGAAAGCATGCAGAGCATTCTGGTAGTTTAGTTCAGTTAAATTGAAGCCGTTGAGCAAACTACTATGTGGTCAACCATGCAGTGTATCCAGTCGAGCAGAAAATGGCAATAATACAATTGATGCAACTAAACTATATATCCAGCAGAAAACGACGATAAATTAGTTTTATCTGAGTAGTGAAAGCAGGCAGAGCATTCTGGTAGTTCAGTGAAGTTAAATTGAAGCCGTTGGGCAAATGACCTTTTGATATACATTGCTTCAACCTTGTACGACCTTAGTCTAGAATCCAAAAACTCCTTATCAAGAAGGATGCTCCAAYAACTGAGAGAGCCTAGTTGGCCTCTGGTTCCCTATGAAAAATGCTAGCTAAGATACGATTCTCTGTGGATTATTTGGTTTGTCGAGCCGCTTTTTCGCCGATGTTTTAAAACATCCATCGAGTCTCATATGCGATTTTTCTGCGATGTTTTGGTTGAATTTTTTTCGCTGATGTTTCATAAAACTTTCTCCTATTTATCTGCATTTATTAACTGAAAGTACAGATATAGCATATCGAATGGTCCATATAGACAGCATGCATCCATCGAGTTATGTATGCACGGGGATGCTGCTAAGCTTTTTACCCTATCAGTGTTTTAATGTACGTGCTTGTTTTTCTCACTTGTTAAAGACAAACTTATGGAGCATCACTGCACAAACTTCTCAGTCCACTTCATATCAAAAATCATTCTCTCTAGTCTTCTAGTAATTAGTTTGGAACGTCTGTCGTGGGAGTTGTATAAAATATATAGGTATTTTGAAGGGCTTTTTTTTTAACGTGGGCATCCGGAATTATTATTCAAATGTACTCAGTCTCTACGTTAAATCCGTATCAATTCAAATTCAGTATGATCGTTCTTACAAATTCCTTTCTTATAATATAAAACACTGTCTATGATCTCTTCACAAGTATAAGTTGGTTAAAATACCCTTATCTGATATGGATAATTGCAGAAAAAAATATATCGGGCGTGGCCACTTTAGTATGTCAACACGAGCRAGAAAACTAGTGTCCTAARTCGCCCAAACACGTGTGAATTGCTCATACAAAGGTGCTAGAGATACTCTAATGGAATTGGAGCGCCAAATACACCCTCTTATAGGGTGAACTATTGGCGTCAGAATGCCGGAATCTTGGCAGGACTCTGCCCCGAGAGCGTGTACCATTGAGATAAGAAAGTAATGTAATACCAGCACACGGGGATTAGAATTCTGTTCATGTATACAATGTTTGTTAAAAAATAGCGCATCTTTGATCGTGAATTCATAGAGAATTAAATGCATTGATTCATAAACGCGAGAGAAGTCATTATGTGTTKGATTTGATTCAGTTTCCTCGATRACTCATGAAAAATTGTCGCAGCTTTTCAAATATGGAGTCGTGTTGAAATATCTTAATGAACGAAAGTATGCATGTTTTAGGTTGAGTTGCTTTAACACTTTGTTTTTTTATATATATATGATATATATTATATAAGGTATCGCGCTTTTCAAGGTGGCATGGCTTCTTTTAATAAAGAACAACCCCACAGAAATGTGTTTTATAAACTGATAACATCGGCCAGCCTCTCACCTTAGGGCCTTCTTAAACACACTCAGATAAACCTTCAAGCCATTCTCKGATGTTTATTATAAACCATTCGTAAGAACATGAACACGAATCAGCTGTTCCATCAATGGTCTTAAGTTCTGCTCATTTTAGCGCCATTCAGCAAAATATAGATGCTTCGAGTCGTACGGTTTGGCGGGATGTTATTAAAGGCACATATCAGTGTGTCGGYGATTGACGAATTTTTGTGTTTATAGATTCTTAAGGCTCGCTACAAGCGCTGATATCACTACTGACTTGCAATTAYACTTTCTTCCAGACTTAAAATAAACATACTTCCTGTAGTTTCAAAGGGTCTAATGAGGGGACTGCTATGCGATCGAAATCGAAAAACAAACATTGTAAAGGCATTTTAACTTATGAAAGAAATAACAGAAAATCACGATTTTGAATTTTTTATTTCCAGTAAATTCTGTTTTAGTGTTTACAAAAACAACGTGCCAGAACATGGCGCTCTGTAAAACCAGAGAATATATATTTTACATACACTTTTTCATTTAATTTGAACATTTGAAATGTTTATACTAAATACTAGTAATTTAAGACGAGTATAACACGAATAATAACATTATATAGTATTAAACTGCTTTAATAGTAACTGTCCAGAGTACTTCTCGAAAATCCGTGAAATAGATACTGCAATGATAACGTGGTATAATAGTTTCTTAGTGTTTTTCTAGTGTGCGTCTCGAGTATTCAGAGTAATCRTTTCACGGATTTAAGAKAAAACATYGGCCATAGGCCATACAGTGTGAATTCGCTATGCGTCTGTGAAATAGTTTGGTAACAAAGGCAAAAAAAATCCTTAATCTAACTTAAACGAATTTGTACAATTTTTTACAAGAACGTTTCACGGATTATAGTTAATGTACTCAAATAGACCACAAGTATACTTTTCAGGGCGTTCATTCTAGAATATGTATGTCCAATAACTCTATATATTTGATATAAGATAAACAAAACTGGAAATATATACATTATATATACATCAATATGGATTTATATAAATGGTTCACAACCTTACTTTCGGTAATGGAATGCAGCCTGTATAGTTTGAACGACTTAAGATAAATCTCGCCAAGTTAATCAGGCTAACTCAGAGCTCTTTAGATGATCATGTCTTCAGAAAGCGCTGCCGAAGTCCTTAATACTCTCAAATGATGCCGTATTTTCGATATCTTTCGCATCCGTTACAAAATCCGCCGCGCGGTGGAGCTTTTAGCAAACGCGTGGCGGACATCTACACATAAGCCATGAAGGAAGGGTATTTTACAAATTAATTCAATATTGCCTTATATAACGGTGATTTCTTTTCTAATTTGGCAGCTTTACYGCGCTTATCATAAAAGTTCCGAGAATAATTACTTGAAAGACCAATTAAGCTTAACATAACTGATAATGCAGTTTCTCGTTCTGTAATGAAGGCAATTATTTGTGTTAATACGGCTATAGAACTTGACAACTACTGAAAACATTACGAGCTTTCCCTGCTCATTAAGAACATTGTAAAGGCTTACAGGGGAAGTTAATTATTTGATATTGCTTCCTCGGAGTTTATTACTATCTGACCTAGTCTAAATAGCCTACAATTACGCAGTTCAAACCAGAACTGTTCTAATTAGTAGGGAATCAGATTATAGATACGCGAGCAAGAAAACAAGCGCTCTTCAACTCCGTATCCACTATCAGCAATAAGCCCTCTTGTAGGTTTTCAAATGTTCAGATCAACTCGTAAATGTCTCCACTAGATAGACCATAATTAAGGCATTACATATCCTTATCTTTGAAATATGGGCTTAAGTTCTTCTCTCAAGCTAATTGTTACATTTGACTATAGAGTCGACATCGTTATCYGYTGMGGWATAGAATGATTCCCCGCTAAAATGTCTGGTCGTTATTTGCCATTTYCGAATATGGTGCTCCCCTTTTCTCTTCTTCTTCTTTCCAAGTCTTTCTAGTTCTTGGTCACGCTTAAACTTTGTTCGTCTGTTCTGAAACCAGACTTTAACCTGGGCTTCCGAYAAGTCTAGATCCTTGGCTACTTTTTGCCTCTCTTCGCCCACGATGTAATGGTTCGCGAGAAATCTTTTTTCTAGCCTTTTGAGTTGGTCGGCGGAAAACGCGGTKCGCGCTCTTTTACGTTTCTGTACGTATCCGTTTGTATCGTCTTGAAAGTCGGCCAGTTCACCACCGTAGCCGTATTGGTACGGATCGCCTGAAAGAAAAACGTKTTGTTGTTAARGAATWATCTGATTTTAGGCTGCGCCTCAWTAAAGYGGAACCTTTGCAAAGTATTTTTYATGTTTTAATGACTCTTATAGGGCTGMATTGGACGAGCTGAATTTAGGCTGCGACTCATTATTGTGCAACCTTCGCAAAGTATTTTTATTGCTACAATTGCACTCCATTCTTAAAAGTGAATTCAGCGATGGAAAAATTGGTACGAAAACGCTTTTATTCTGTTCTATGATTTTGGCAGCCGACGAGTATCGATCGATGCAACGTGTGGTATGTGTCCGATGTTTTGACAAACGCAGCAAATTTTTGGTTTAGTGTGCATGTTTGGATTTCAAATGGCGTACTAAAACAATCAAAACCAGTGTGATCGGTGAGATTATCTGTATATTTTAATGTTTTTTATTTCAATTTACAAAATTTGATTAAAATGCAACTTATAAATCGGTACTATAACGTCTTGGCCTTATACCCCTGCCATTTCGAAACATTCAAAGCCTTTTACCAAAGTATCAGATGTTTTAGAGGAATTAGTTTAATCCAACTGAAGACTCAAAAGTGGATAAAATAAGACGATTTGTAAAAAAAATCCAAAGAACGTGCAGCCAAGTGTTGGCCCTTGGGGAGTGGTCGCTTCGTTTACSCCTCGACTAGACCTCGCGAAAATATAGAGCAGTTTGTTATTTTATCAAGTGAAGCTATCCAAAATCTTGTGGACATTTTTGATATTTACACAGATATTTGCATGCAACATTCATGCATATCTTCAGCGTCTGAAGGTATATTTGATTTGAACAGCAAATTGGATTAAATTCTAATTCGATAAATACGGCACGCTTTTCAATGACGTGAGGCAGAAACAATAAAAATTGTGAGACATTTTGGAACAATAACTAAATAAAATCATTCATTGTTTTTATATATTTAGACTAGAGCTCTATAAAATCTATTATTATTATTATTATTATTATTATTATTATTATTCAACGCACTTTCTACAATTCCAAAGCCTTTAATCCTTTTGCAAATATTGAGGATGAGCGCAAAAAAGAGACGCAATCCTAATCCTTAATGATAAGCAGATTGTAAAAGAGTATTCCAGCTATTGAGTTTTATTTGTGGCCATTTTTCACCGGTGAAATCTAAGGAAGTGCTTCTAGTCTTGCGGCTTTATCGAAGGTGTCAGCACGATGACTTTCTTAAGAGATAACAAAGCTACTTCAATTGAAGATATCTTTTGGAACGGAAGAGGAAAACTTGCTTCCTTTGTTCAGTGTTGTCTATCGTCAAGACTAAACATGGAAGACTCAAGAGATTTTCGCGCTTGGGTTGAAAAAGCTCTTCTTGAACTTCTATTACTAAGAAATAGATTAAAGGAAGATTTTCATCCACTTCGATAGACTATAAGTTGTATTAAAAGTTCAACATTTTCAGCTTTACAGCGAATTAAAGTGTTTGCAAAACAAAAYAAGCGCGCGCCGCGTCTGTAAAATCAATCATAGCTCAYAACAGATGCCCCTTATCCGAAGCTYGCCTTTTTGAGCCCTTTGAAACTCCTCTAGAGATTAGAGTAATTATTTTGCTAGTAAAGCATACAAGTTTAATTTCTTTACCGCTCATTAGGCTCTCTGTAAATAAATAAAACGATCAATCACAGCTCACATCCACACACAAGCTAATGAACTATGAGCGGACTGATTAGATAGATGGCGATATTTTGGGCATTAGTTTATAAGAAATGCTATCTCAACTTTGCGCCGAAAGTTATGATTTATTTTAGATGTTATCCACTGTTCCACGCCGCTGGGGATTCGTGTTTAATTAGACAGTTATGCAGGTGAGATTTTGAGAGAAAAACAACTGTTTTATCGAAGCGCAAAGCGTGAAATATTGTTGTCCAGATGTGTTAATTAAAAGCACACTTTGAGTGTGAAAACGTTTAGCAGCACGTATATATGATTTAAAAAAACAAACACTCGATTTGTTCTAAACAAACACCAAAACAGCCCAATAATAACCGCATTTCAGTGCTTTTCAAATAGCGCGTAGTATTATCAACCAGCTTTCTCTTGAACTCATATACGATCACTTATGAAGAGTTTCTGGATTGATGGGCACCTAAGGACTATTTAGTAAGATATACGAACTATTATTACCGGCAATTATTGCTAGATTATTACCTGGATGAGGGTGAGCGAGATATGGGACGTTCTGTCGCGGTCCCCACGGCGTAGACCAGGAAGATTGGATCCCCTGGCTACCGCGGTGATCAGCTATATAACCRGGATAGTTCACTTCATTCTGGTACATCATCTCTTGCAAGACTCGACCTGAGTGGTATCCATTCTGAGGAGTTGGGGYGCAATACTGTGGCCTTGACGGCGCGTTAGTCATACAATTYTGATCCTCATAGCAGGACACTARWGAAGGAATGCTCAAACCAGGACCGTTCTGCATTTGAAGCATGACCAAAGAAGTTTGGTTCCCCGCACCGGAATCGTTRTTTCGTCTTGGTATCTTGGTGCTCTGTCCTGTGAAGGTCGGCGTGGAGTGATGCTTTAAGCTCTAAGCCTATAAGATCGGTAAATCCACACTCTKGGTTAAGATGGCCCTGATAAACGAGAGGCCCTATGTAAGTAATTAGTCTTTGACAGTGTTTGGGATGGATCTCCAAGGCGTTCTGAATAAATCTCCAAATTATTGGTAGATAAGAGTTGTTACGTTAAAGGTGATTTTCATCATTGACCTTTGATGAGGGAGGAATCACATGCCCAAGTCAAGATGTTTTGCTGGTTCGCATGAAAAGTTAATTAAGTGATCGCATTTCGTCTAGTTGAGCCTGTGGAATCTACAAGACTTCTGGGGCAATTAAATTCAGAGATAAGATAAGAATAAGTTGTCGCTGTATCGAAGTTATGCTGTCAACATTGAGAGAGGTTGAGTCATCAACAAAATGCACGATTCGTAGAGTAAACTCCGCTGTTACGACTCGAACAACTTTGGAAGTCGATAATTTGACGTCTTAACGCGGGCACTGAGAGTTAATAGACGCTAAACGCTGGACACACGACAATCTCAGACCACCCTACAGCCGGATTCCTTCGACGTCGACTATCTTGGAGCGCGTTAACAGCTATACACCAGATCACTTCCATGACCCATGTGGCAGCGATTGGCACTTCGTAGTCACTCTGTATTGCTATAGCCAGTTCTTAGATGATATCAATAGGTCAAGAACAGTTTTTTTAGAMGCTGGACTTTTAAAATGCGCGCTTTAGGGGGATGATTTCAAWACGTGATCGCATCCGTAATAGGACAATGGTCTTGTTTATCCCATTTGCGTAACTGTCTCTATAAATTGATGGTTATCAGRKCATTAGGACTTCGAGCAATGTAGATCGCTTACACGAACATCACACGGAGAAAGAACAGACGGTGCGTTTAGAGCCAGAAGAGTCAATGGCAGGAAATAGAACGATGACGATAACGATAACCCTACGAACTCGTTTCCAACTTAGGCTTATTATAGAGCCTATATCGCCTACAGTAATAAAAGGATTTCGGACGAYTGGCCTGGTAGAACCAAATACGATTTAGATCTTATTTAAATACAGGTTTAAAAGGGTCTTTACAACCCGCTACGCTAAAAGCATGAAAAAGTACAAACCAAAGGGTGACAGATTAGACAATAGAAAAYAAGGGAATTCACATTAGTACAATTTAGAAACATTTAATTACTAAAAGTTTTCATGGTTTTAGTGTTTGCACTCTGCTGTACCCAAGTATTATTAGATAGAGCGATAAGAAAACTTTAATTTTGGGACATCCAAAGRGACACTCCTGGGTCAACACAGTTTTCCCGATGCATCCGACAATACATGAGTGATCTTGAATCTTGTATTGCTGAACAAGCAATGTCCATTTTAGAAGGAGTGGACTAATGAAGACATATTTAGTATGAACTCTTCAGAGTGAATTCTAAATACGGTAATTAGCTGTAATTAGTGAACATTAGAAAAATCCAAAGAGGTCCTTGAACTCAGAAAATAGATCAACTCACTACGAAGAATAGATTTTTCCGTGTAGTGCAAAAATTAAAAAAAAAAGTAAAGACAGGCATATTGAAACATCATTTGCAAAAGCTAAAGGCAGCTACTGAATTTATCAGTAAAATATTTCCCAAATTCACTTTAGTCTGGGTATTTCTATCTGTGAATGGACGAAATTTTTTTCCATCTCAGGTTCTTTCCATGTAAATGCTTGCTGCCACACCCTTGACGTGGAATTCTACCTACCCAAAATGTCTGGCCCACCCGCTATTCTACGATAGAGAGGGACTGGAAACTAGCAGTAATAAGGTAGTTAATAAGACAAATGAAAGGATATATTTTTAGTGCTTATTATAAATAAGCCATATATTAGTGAGCAGATCTCTTCTCAAATCGTCCGCACTGCTCCAATCTCTTTATTGAAGTAGATTTTCCCCTGTAGATGCCTATGGCATTTTCAAATTTGATATTGACAATTTGCTTGTTATCAACAAATCAACAAAAAAACTAAAAATCATAGATAAATAATAACAAAAAAAGCAAGTACCCAAAYATAATCAGTTTTTCTTCGGTTTGGTAATCCCAGAATGCTTTGCGTGATTATTTCCGGCATCACATGTACCACCACAGCTGGTTGTGTCACGCAATAATTGTGGAGCAGTTTTGAAGTTTTGAAAACCGTCTTAAAAAGGCAATTTGCTCAGTTTTTTGCCTTAATAATCCATAATTTTATGCACACAAGGGAGGACTAACCTCATTTATCAATTGTACTGCACAGAAACGAATTATCCAAAGAGTTTGAAGTCATGGTCAGGCGATTTGCAGAAAGGTCAAGAAACCTTTTTTACTTTCTCGTGYTGTTTGGTGGTGTTTTGAGTTCGACATGCGCTGCAAAATTACCCGAATATTGTGGAAAGGAACCTGGTAATGTGAAGGCAAATGTTGAAGCTTCTGTAGAGGGATWTGAGTTGAAACAAGTCAATGTTTTCATTCGGTGAGTGACTCTTTCTTTGCTCTTTTTTTATAATTCAATGATTTAAAATCATGCATCGCTATTTACAAGATGATTGTCGTTTTAARCAAGTAATTTAGTTAAAATAAATGTGATTTAATTGAATTTCGCTTATAGGTTGGAAATACTAATAATGTTGATTGATTTTTCACATGACATGCTGCTCAGCCAACTGACACACAGGAAGCCCATGCATGATCTTTGCAAAAAACATGCATTCAAAATATTCTTTATTTAAGGAATAAAAGACGAAATTCCGTGTTTGCTACGCGTCGTGGTTTCCTACGCTTCTCTCGTGCTCTCCCTACATCCCGCGTGTTTTGATCAGAGTATCAAACACGGAATTTCGTCTTTTATTTCTTTTCTAAAATTAAAAGAATAAAAGAAATTTTTGACGCGCACGAGCGTGTTTTGATACTGTAATCAAACATGGTTTTCGACCAATCACAGCGCGCGTAGTATCCTAAGTATTTTAGAATTGCTATTCATTGTATGAGCTATTATTGTTCTGATTGACTCTCTTAATTGTAAAAGCCAAGAATATGTTGTACAAAATCACTGACAATGTTGGGGTCATTTTTTCCTCTTTTTATATAATTATTTTATATTTATGTTGGTTAAAACTTCTTAGCCATATAGACTTACAAGGAAAATAGCCATTGATTTGTATCATTAGAATAGGCCTTTTGCAGCTGCGGGTCACGTGACCACCCCTACCTTAAATTAATCGACTATCACAAAATGATGTTCAGAAATGGAAAGAGGGGATCAAAATAAGTAAGAAGACAAAGTTTCAAGTCTCAACACTAAATACTTCAAAAATGACAGCAAATATAAAATCATTTTTTTTTCTAAAGAAACATATGCAAAAACAGAGCTGGAGAGCAAGCCTTGCTCTATTTTCCCATACATTTCTTTAGGAAAATCAATGTTTTACATTTGCTGTCATTTTTTAAGTATTTAGAGTTGAGACTTGAGACTTTGCCATTTTACCTAAATAAACCTGCTCTGTCCATTTCTGAACATCATTTTTTGATAACTGATTGATTTAGGGTAGGGGTGGTCACGTGACCCCCAGCTGCAAAAGGCCTATTTGATTTGTAAAGTAACTGTCTTAGCATAACAAACATAGAAGCTTTATTAAAAAAATACTATATAATTAATGATTATAGGTCAACTAGCTAAGAAGAYCTTGCTCTTTACTGTGACCAGTGCACACAAAACTTTAAAACTACAATGAGCAACAGAATGCTGTTGTTATAGTTAATGTCAAAACTTATGGAACATATTATCATTTGAAACAGTATGGAAATTAAAAATCCATATATTTAATACTGTGCAAGACAGTTCAACTGACCAATGTGTACTCAGCTTGTATTTGTTTSTGTGTAGCCATGGTGACCGTACCAAGGCATCATACCCTATCAATGACGGTTACTGCTGGCCTAACGACAATGCTGAATGGGACTGTAGTTTAACATCCATCTCACATCCAGCTGTAAAACATGACCAGCATATGTTAGCTGTGGATAGAGTCTACAGGAAAGGTCTGTATCATATATTGAGAAATAAAAGATTTGTTAGTTTGAGTGATATGTGATAATGCGGAAAAATATCTTAGAGTTTGGCTCTAAGGACTTAATAAGCAAACAACTGTAAATTGTTATATTTCTCAGTGTATTTGGAAGACCGTGAACCAATGAAGGGTACCTGCCCTCTTGGGGCCTTGACATTTGAAGGATATGTTCAACAAGAGACAAATGGAAAAATACTAAACATGTTGTATGTGAAGACTGGATTTTTAAAACAGAACTTCTCTTACACTGATATGTATGTCAGGAGTGATGGTAAGGAAATAGGGCATCTTATGTCAGGTGTAAGTTTCTAAATATTATTATATTGAAATATATAATGCATGAGTCAACAATATTGCACTAATTTAATTTTTATTGACACAATTTTGGCATATAGAAGAAATRCTAGAGTTGTTTTTAATAACTTGTGAAACACAGGCAAAGCATAATAAACTTGTGTGGTACGCCAGAAGAGATACATAAAAAAGAAATAAAAGAACCCTGCAATATAAATATTGTAGTATGCCAAAGTGTGTTTTAATGGAAACTCTAATTCAGGGTATTGTTTTCTATTGTTCAGTTAGATAGCACTGTTTGCTGGTAAATATTATTTATTGTCCAACTTAAAGGGAAATACTTATTGCCCAGTATGATAACAATGTGAACAATACAGTACCATACTGTACCGGAACAGTACAGAATGTACTGTATGTCAAAAAAGTGTGGTACATGTACTGATACACATTTGTGTCTATTTTAGATATGCACAGAACAATGCAGGTAAATTGCTTTCAATTAATTTTGTATCTTTTTCTCCAATTTTGCTTTGTTTTCTGTTTCCAATTCTTTCCTTTGTTTCCCCAATCTTTATATTGATCTTCATTCTCTAAATTCACTTTGTTTCACTGGCTGTACTCTTTTATTCTTTGCATTCTATCTCTCCCTTTTCATTATTTTGTGTTTCCTTATCCATTCATTTCCTTTGCTTCCATTCCTTTCATCCTCTATCTAAGCTTATTTCCTTATATGACGTTTTGACCATTTATTTCCGTTTCCTCCCTTTTCATTCCTTTCTATCATTCCTTTTGCATTCTCTTATCCTCAGTTTTCCCCTGCCTGCCTTCACATCATGTGTACTCTCTTAATACATTTATCCCATTTCATTTCTCAATCTTCCTTTATTCTCCCTATTTCTTTCTCTTCCTTTTTCTCTTTCCTCCACATCCATCCCTTTTTCAATCCCTTGTTCCTATTGCATCTATCATTATTCAGAATTAAAGTATATTCCATTTTTTTCATGTACTCCATTTCTTTCATTTTATTTCGTTTCCATGACAAATTCATTTTTATAATAGTCTTCATGTGTTCATATAGTCGGCGCAGGGTTTGATCCGTGGAATGTATCCACCTGCACAAGAAACAACAGACAGAGCTGATGTGATTGACATTCAYACTATGGATCGTTTGCTCGATGATATTGAACCAAACAGCAGGTAACACTTGCAATACATCAAGAGGAGCCGATGGGTTCTTGGGAGAAATATATCTGGTCTTATGTACCAGCCAGCTGTTAGTCACAACTGGTTGGCAGCAAAGTTATAATACATTCAGAAACATCTTTTTAATTCAAGAAGAGGAATAGGCTCTTTTTSCCAGGAAGCTCTTCACGACCTTTGCACTAAGGGAAATCCTGAATATCGCTTAAATACTCAAGTGCTTTAACGGCCGTAAGGGAGARTTTTTCCCAATTTAAAATTCTAGTTCTTATTAAATCACTTCCCAAGAGAAAAGTCGTATAAGAGCAGATATTCCGAAGAAAACGTCTGGTCGGCTTCTCCTCTCAAAAAGACAATTCTAAGACCAAAAGGGGATTTTTGTACGCGSAAATTTGAAACATGCTCGCTTAAACCCTGTATGCATTACTATGAAACCCTCTCTGTTTCAAATCTACTATTTGTTTTGGATAACACAGGTTGTGTCCCAAGTTGGCTGAATACCAAAAGGAGTTTCTCAATAGCCCAGCATTCTTGAACCACTATCGCAATGTGACCCAACCTCTCCTCAAGGAACTGMAGAAAGCACTTGGCTACAATAAATCGCTAAGTATGGACTTACGTTCCTACGTTACGTTTCCTTACTTTCTTACGTTATTTATGAAAACAGACGTTGCAGGCCGAGGAACTCCGAGATAAAAGTAACAGAGATGGATGAGCATCCCCAGTACTTATCCCCCTCAAAACCCCAGACCAATTTTTATGATTTTGCATACCCTACCCCAGACTAAAGGTACAAAGGTACATTATTTTTAGCGATGTAAGCGTGGCCTAGCAGATCACAGGCAAAACTCCACCCTACCACAGAAAACGAGACTATACCCTATCCTAGACAAAAAAACTACCCTATCGCAGACAACACTACTAGCCCTAACCCATTCAAATGGGCAAAAAATGATATCTTATCCCAGACTTGGAGCTCAGAAAAAGGGACCCTTATCAAGCGGTACATACCCATAAAGCAAATACAATTGACCACTCTCGTAAGCGACCATCTCTCGTATGCGACCACCTTTTAAATTTCCCGTTATAATTGTTTCCCATATAAACTTTGTAAAAAAATCTCCTGTAAGCGACCATCTCTCGTAAGCGACCACTTTTTCCCGATCCCGAGGTGGTCACTTACGAGAGAGTTGACTGTATAGGGGAGTAGCCCCTCGATCTCACTCTCATGAAACCCCTTCGAACACACCTGTGAGTGGTGACCTGTTAACTTGGTACTGACAGATCATTTCTTTTATCTTATTCTTATATTGCCTGTTTGTGTAGGTATGGATGACATGGACAGTACTGTCGACTGTGTGCATACTCACCAATGCCATAACTTTGCAATCCCAGCAACTATCACCCCGGACTTGTTTGCTCGCATCGTCAAAGACATTTCAGATCGCAAAATGATGCAGTTGACTTATCCAACGCGTGAAAAGTCTGCACAAGTTGGRATTGGGTTTCTCGTCAGTGAGATGTGGCAGGTATRTTTAATTTAAGGAATAAAAKACRAAATTCCGTGTTTGATACTCTGATCAAAACACGCGGGATGTAGGGAGAGCACGAGAGAAGCGTAGGAAACCACGACGCGTAGCGGAGTGGTTTCCAGCTTTTCGAGTGCTCTCCCTACATCCCAAGTATTTTGATCAGAGTATCAAACACAGAATTCCGCCTTTTATTTCTTTTCTAAAATTAAAAGAATAAAAGAAATTTTTAACGCACGCGAGCGTGTTTTGATACTGTAATCAAACATGGTTTTCGACCAATCACAGCGCGCGTAGTATCCTAAATATTTTAGAAAATGAATTAATAGACGACGTGGGAATGCAGTTSTCGCACATTTTACATTCCTTGAAATAGTCCAGCATCCTCCGCAGGCAACTCTTTGTATAAAGAAGTTTTACGAGCGAGTGGGATTCCTTTGGTGAGAGGCTTGGTGACTGACCAATATACAGACCAAGTAAGAGAGAGAGAGAGATGTCTTCGGAGGAGGCTAGAAATTGTCAATGGAAGCCAGTGTTTTATGTTCTATGTTAATAGAAAAGGACTCCGTGCTAGCTGTGTCTATCGTTTGTAATTCCTCAAAGAAGGAAAAGAAAACAGGAAAAAAAAAGAAGGGAAATAAGGAACAAACACTTTCATGTTTGTATAGGAAAAAAACCCGGCTTTTTTTTGGCTTTTTTCAGCTTAAATGTAATGGTGTCACTGCGCCTTGTCTGTCCATGATAATTGTTKTGCTACTAACAGGTTGCAAATACGTTTTTCTCTATATTCTCCCTCGTGAATTGTGAAAACGAAAAAATGACKTTGGTGAAATACTTCCCATTGTTCAGTAATTGTTTTTTTTCATACCTCCTATGTGTGATGATAATGATGATGATGATTGAAGGACGATTAGCACCCAACACCATTGCGATGATGATGATGATGATAATGGTGGCATGTACAAGTAGGTAATATGACTTCTTACCTGCATCTGTTCTCGTTCAGGCCATGCAAAAAGCAATGGAAGGAAAACCACCAAAGTTTCTTCTCTATTCCGGTCATGATTATACACGTAAGTGCTTTTAGCGATAAAGAACTCTATTGTGTGTGAGGGACTTAGTCTCCTTTCGCAGCCGTTRCAAGGCTCGTTCCTAGGTCATTACTTTCTAGGGAGAGACTGGGAACAAGCTTCATAACGACTGCCAGAGGAGACTAGAGGGGCTTGTTCGAGTCAAATAATAATTTGTGAAATAGTTAATGAAGGTATAACATGGATTGAGTGTAGAGTATGCTCGTCTTGGAGTCTCGGTCCAAATCATGGCTCGGGGCATGGGTGCACATGAGCTTAGTGAGGTTTCCTTCTCTTCTATTTTAACTCGAGATATGCTAGTTTTCCTTATTAAAAAGATAAATAAACAGAARCATGAAAACTATAGCGCTTCAAAGTTATCTAAATTCAATGAATGAAACAAAAAAAGGAAAAAAACTAGCAGGAAATACGAAAATCAATTACATTAAAAAAAGCGTAAACAAAGCGTTTATTTTTTTTTTCATTTTATACTATTACGGTTATATTTTGTATTATTTACATTCATTCCAACATACATGTACATACAATCTGCATACACAGTTTTTTTTCCGTTTTTCTACCTTATGCGGGCTGGAAGCTGACAGGTTTTAATAAACTAGTATATTTACACTGTATTCACACTTTCTAGTACACATTGTGAAGGTTTAGTAAATTTTATATGATGAATATATTAGATTAAACTATATACATATTCGGTTTGACTTATTATATATACTGTTATTTTCAATGAGGTGATATCACTCCAAATAGGAGTTAAAAAAGGTACCAGATAACTCCATTTCTGGAGTAGATTTAACTCCATCATTTTTAACACCTCACCTAGGGGAGTAATTATGATTCTCCTTATAATAGCCATTTTGAACCCTCTTCACTGGTAAAAATCGCGCGCTTTGAAGGTTGTAAATTTGATGTATATATGATGTAAGTGTCCAAAATGATGTAAATTTGATGTAAATCATTTCCATCAAATTTACATCATTTTGGACACTTACATCATATTTCCATCAAATTTACAACCTTTATGGCGCGCGATTTTTTCCAGTGCTTTAGTGTAAGTTTGACTCTATTATAGAGTTGATTTAAAAACTACTTGCATTGTAGAGTAGATTTAATTCTCCTTAAAGTTCCTCCACCAGGTAGAGTAATTTTAACTCCATTGGTGGAGTTATTTCAACTCCTTGAAAATAGCAGTGTAAAAATTATAATTTATTTGCGCGCTCTTGGATTGTTCAAGCGTGAATTATAGAAATACAGATACAGAAAAAATACAGATAAAAAATACAAATGACGTAAAAACGTGATGAGAACAAAAAAGGACGCCAAGATTTCGAGTGGCGTGATTGTTGTTTTCATCACATTTTGACGTCCTTTATGTATCCGACCAATCAAAGCGAGCATGGGATTGGATGACGTCATCCGTGCGTGCGTCGACCAATTGAAAACCGCGTAATTTACCAAATATTATTTACATTTCTGGTCTTAAACTGCGTCTTCACGAACATTTTTTACGTTGCAATTTTGATTCATTTTGCCCGTTTAGACGACGACTCATACCGAATTTTATACGACGGCTTCATTAATTTTCTGAAATGCTTGCGAGTTATTATTTTTTTGTAAAATGTTAAATTACCTTTATATTGCTTATAGACGAGATATTGATGTGTTTTTGAGATTTAGAAGACGTGATCTGTTTTACGCAACTTTCACGATATTCTCAGCAATACCGTTTGAATTTCTCGTGTAGACGCAGTTATCTGCATTTTAGAAATGGCACGATTGTTCAAAGGTTATTCACCTCTCGGCCSTGTGGAGGAGAGACACCTRGAAAAGAACCTCATAACGGCTGCGAGAGGAAACTACGCAAAGGGCGGTTACTCTAAGCACAGAATTCTACGAATTATTTTTTTGACCTCATGTCTTAGATAGACCGATTTGTAAACCAAAATAGTCGGCCCGATAGCTCCGTTAGCACAAACAAAGAACGAGAGGACATAGCGGCTAATGTAATCAACAGTGAACGATGGCTCGAGTTTCAAGGCCATGGCTACACCACTATAGATCACATATGCGATATATGGTGTTATGAACACTACTATGAGAGTTATAAGCATTTGCGTAACCTTATTCTGCATAACATTTACTTGACTTGCCGCCTCGGGATTCTCCGAGTCATTAACTATGCGACTTTCATGGCGTAAAAACCTAAACAACCGAATACTTGTAACGATGAGAACAATGCTGGGAATTATGTAGATTAGCACAAGAAAACTCAAAAACAACATCCGGTTTGTTGCACTGCTTTTGTCGTACTTACACACAGTCGTGTACTTGTTGTTACCGAGGTCAAACCGCACTAAATCGTACGAGCTGGCGGCTAACGCATTGATTAGCGCACCTGCAAGCCACGCCCCAGCAACAAGCCGCTTCACTACCCTCTCACTAGGAAGCAGAAACGGGTGAAAAACGCACGCGTACCTCTCTAAACCTATAATTAAGAAATTCATAACTGTGATAGCAATACTAAGAATATTGTTGTACCTGACAATTATACAAACTAGTTTGGTCTTGATGAAGTCCACGAACATCTCGGCTGTAAAGACRGGAAGGSWTGTCAAAGAGCTGAGTATGGCCGATAGAGTAAGACTTAATATGAAGGCATCTATCACGTGTTGACGGTTGAACGCTACAACGAGATTGTTGTTCATCCTAGCGCGTATTAAGTAAAATACGAGAGAGTTCGCTATAAGCGAGTACACTCCAATAGTTACATRTGCAGCGGCAATTGCAACCTTGATATGGATGTTGATGGGAGAGAAGACGTACTGTGCTGTTGCGTTTGAAACAGTCAAGTTCGTGTTACTCATGTTCTGGCAAATGCTCTATAAAAGCAAGAAGGAAAAATAATTATAAAAAAAATAGCGAACATCGATCAGAAAGTAGATCCAGGCAATCATCACGATCGATGAATGATTACTAAAAGCTCATAAGATCCGTTAAAATACATTGAACAAGCTACACCTCTAACGCGGTAACTAAATTTTGTTCCTTGGCGTTTTAAGTTTCCCACATACGTTTTTTTTTAGAAAAACACCCTCTGTAAGACGAATTCCTCTTTAAGGCGCATACCGTACACTTAGATATCGTAACGGAAAGCTGTCAGAAAAGTGATTTAAAAGAAAAAAAAAAGGAAATGAAAAGAAAAATTATAAAAAAGAAATTCCACTTAATATGAGCAAGGCTCATGTCATGTGATGTAAAAACCTCAAGACGACACTTTTTGATCCCGAGGGTGTCCTTATATTATGGAGTTATTATGGAGTTCTCGTTAGTTGGAATTTCATCTTTGCAATCATTCCAAGCTACTTACAAGTTTCGCTTTTCTCCTTCAAATCGTAACTTTTTGATTGAAATAAGATCGTTATAAAAAAGACCGTCTCCAGAACGTAAGGAAACATCAAACGAAATATTTAAAACGTTTAAAAACTGATTTAAAAAGTACTTAAAATCCTGGATTTTTTCAATGAAAATTTATCATGAATTAACCTGCATGTATTTTCGCTGGTGCCAAGCGTAGAAAAATTGTTTTCACGCAATACTAAATCAAACATTACTATCAGTTCAGTATTTAATAATAATTATGATAATAATTAATATATCTTTATTTCATACATTTCATACATTGGGTTTTTTTAAAGAAAAAAATACTTTTAGTTGGCTAACTGCTTAAATAAAAAACAACTCCGATGCATGTTTTCTGTGGGAAAATCTRCTAGGCTAGCGAGCGCTGAAAACGGCTTAACTTACCTGATGTGTTTGAGCGGATATCTGGGTAAATCGTCTGAAAAATGTCTGGTCTTGTGTTAGTTTACCAGTACTTAATTTGGTTCTTTTCTCTTTTCCTTGTATTCGGGACCAAGGAGAGTTACACTGGGTTCAGGGCTGTGCTTGATATCTGTTCACTCTTCTCTTGACTCAGTGCGATAGGTTTTGAAGTGAATGTCTTTGTGACAGACCCTTTTATATAGTTAATTTGGTCTTAATCTGCATTTTGTATGCCAAATTACTTGAGTTCATTGCCTTCAATAGACTCTTTAAACCGGAGGTTCGTCATTGGGTAGTTTTCGCAGTATAACTATCAGAGAAAGAAGCTACAGTAGAATCCCTCATTTTTAGCGAGTGTTTTGTTTGGTGTCTTTAGATTGATTTTTATTCTATCAAAAACAATTATCATATGATTATCTATGAAATATCTATTTATTTCTCCTTTTCCTAAAGTTGATAGTGAAAATAACACATTCGAGATCTCTCTATATAGTGGAAGTAAGAAAAAATGTA